AGTGATGAGTGAGTCCCACAGTGTCATTAAAACTCACTTTCTAAATTAATCAAGTCTGACTTATGATTTGATAAGCTTAGTTTTTATTCAACTTCTGCAACTTGACAAATCTTCAATTTGATCAATATTTCTGAATCTTTCAAATTTACAGCTTATTTCATATTAATAATTTTTTTTTATTCACAGTTACATAGAGGATCAAGTCATTCAATGGCTTTTATTTTTGAATTATTAAAATGGATTGAATCTTCTTATAATAAAAACTCAATCTTGAAAATCAGTGACTCTTGGGTCCTTTGGCTAAAAAGAGACAAAATTGAATCTTTAGCACATTAGACACAGATAAAACTTTTGTAATGATTTAAGTCATCACCCTCTTTCAACTACATGAAAGTTCTGACCTAGAGCATTTTTACACTGTCAACCTGAATGTCATAGAAAAAAAAACAGGCTTAAACACAGAAGATTCTCCATATGCAAACTTTGGCCACAAAAAATCGATATTATGGTCATGCACAGTCATGGCTAAATTTGTTTTGCTCAATACAAGTTTTACTAGAAACAAAAAAAAAGAAATAAGAGACCTGAAGTGATCTTCTATTGGCATGAATTAACAGTATTCAATATGGCCTATGAAAAAACACTCCATCACCACTGAAAGAACTGTTTATAAATTGAACCAAAATTGAGTCCAGGTATCAGCTGAACAGCAGGATGTCTCTCAGAAAAGTCTTTCAAGGACTTTGCCATGATTGGAGTTTTTCCCTTAACAGCCAAACACTTAAGGCCAGGCAGTTTATCCAGTATGGTGGGCAGGAATGTTCCCTCTAAGCGAGTGAGGTGATATAGCCCAATTTCCTCCAGACCCTTGCAACTGTTTATGAAGCACTCAACCCCCTTGTCAGTCATGTTGGTTCTTTCCAGGCCCAACAGCTCCAATGTTGGGATGTTGCAGCTTATATATGCAGCATGCTCATCATCCAGTTTCTGATTCTGAATTATGAGAGCTTTCAGCTGGGAGAAATTTTTGTTGGCAAAAAAGGCAGACACAGATGAGGCCCGTAAAGCTAAGGCATGAAGTAGGAGGCCTTCCAAGTTAATGAGTCTGGAAAGGGGTGACAAGCCAACATTGGTGAGACTGCGACCAGTGGCTATTTGCAAGACTCTTAGAGAATGGAGTTTACCAATGGCCTGAAAATGGACTTCTTCCCACCCATAGCCAGTGGCATATAATCTTTCCAGAGAAAATTGCAGTCTTACACAAGCTGCAGCAAGGGCTTTGGGGTAAATGTGTGTAGCAACTATCTTAAGGCTCCTCAGAGCCTTGCATCGGTCAAATATAGACTCTAGAAGACCACTATCACAGAGTTCACAATGATACAGTTGCAACTGTTTCAGATTGCAGAATGATGGCAAAATACAAAGTTCAATGTTGGATGTTTTGAAATGGTGAAGTATCAGATTTTGGACATTAGGAGCAGACTGCAACAGCACAGCCAGTCTATGAGTTCCATCTGTGGGCAAAAGTTGCACTTCAACTGTCTGGAGTCGTGGAAAGCAGTAATGGGACAGCTTCTGAGCAACTACTCGAGGGTCAGGTCCCTGAAGTGTTAAAGATGTCATTACTCGAGCGCATCGTTGAAGGACTTTGCCAGAACACAATTCCTGACATGCTTTTGTGGTAAGTTCAACATGCTTGTAAAGAGATGTTGTGGAAGCCACTCGACTCCATCTTTGGCACACATGACCAACATTTTGGATAAGTTCATAAGGGCTGAAGTATCCAAATATTTTGAGCAAGATCTCATCCGGAATCAAGTCAAATGACATGCTGACAAACATGATGGCAGGCACATCCAGTTAATATGCAAGATCAGTAGAGGGCAGAGGTGAGAGATGATATACTTTTCACTGTTTAGCTTATAAACATAGGCCTATTTCAAACATGAAGTCACTTATGAAAATAAAGTTATGCTCTCATAACATCTCCCTGCACCATAGGGAACTCGACAAGGCATAGCATGTCGAAATGAGAGGAACTCAGAGATAGGAAAGAGAAGAATTACCACAATGGACACTGTGCAGCTCTTTCATAACTTAGACACAGTGGAGTTTCCTCTTCAAAAAATTCCTCGAAAGGAATGCAGTCTGTGACAGGTAAAACGACTGGAGATATTTTTAGGCTCCAAGCATGGATTCATCTCAGAAGTATAGGCCTTCCTTATAGGATTTTTATTTGACCCAAAGAAAAGAAAAACTGAAGATAGGATCTTCAATTGCTTTGTTCTCTGGAATGTGAAAGCTCTTAGGAAAAGTTTTTTCTTCCCATGATGAGAAACGAATGGTCAAAGTTTTCCCTGATATCGCTCCTGAATTCCAATAATATAAATCAGAATTCATGAAATAGGATGCAACAGGCACAAGCTGTGAGTACTGCCAGAAGGAATGGGATAGGATGAAGGTACTGCTTCTTTTTCACAGCTCTAATTACCATCACAGTTAATTGAATAAGCTGGACTTCCCCCCCCCCAGTCCTTTCTATTGATGGAAAGGGGCCATACAATTGTAATTCTTATCAACTTTTTTCGTTGTTGATATCGTGTGAGCAGAACAACTCTCCCTTGAATAATCTTTCTGAACTCTTGCATCACTTTCATAGGGTACTGAAAGCCTTGATACCAAATAATGCTGTAAAACCATGGCAATAAAGTCTAATGCTTCCCTTGAATAAGATTTATGATGGAGGAAGGACTTGTAAGGCAGACTGGGAGATGTGGAAAAAACAATCAGCTTTTGACTGACACCTGCCTGAAAGGGTTTCTAACTGATGGTATATTTTACAAGGCATTTTAAAATTTATTCAGGTCATTGTGTTTCATAAGCTATGTCAGAGCCTTCCGTCATTGTCAAAAAGCAAAACATGAATTAACTTTTGCAAGCTGAAGAACATTATTGAAAGGGTCCTTTTTTCATATAGGGGTAGAAAGATGTTAGATGGGAGTGGAATCACCTTTTCTTGCAGGACAGTTCTGACCTGTATGTTACACCAAAGAGTAAAGATTGGAGGTCATTAATGAAGAATGAAGCATGAATATATTTTGAATGTAGGTTAATGCATCCAATTGACTCATGCCAAATTGCCCATGGGCCATGAGTCCATGGGAGGTCCCATTTTATTTTGTCACCTGCCTGAGTCTTTGGCAATTTTTTTGAAAATGCATGATTTTCTTGTGTCAAACCAGTTTGGCATATAATCATCAACTGACAGGGATTGTTGAATAAGGGTGACAACCATGTTAATCATTTTCTTTCACAGATTCCTGAGCATAGAAACTTTTTGGTAAATGCACAGACCACAGCTCAGTGCCAAAACAGGAGGTTGTGTAGGAAAGATATGAATATTTGCCATTGTGGTGTACATAAGTCTACTTTTGGAAGACACTTAATACTTTCATAGCTGGTGTATCAGTGTCTCAGATCTAAGGAGTTAAAAAAGGGAGGATGTGCAAAACTGAGGAAAACACTCTATGGCTACCAGGGTTCAGTGACCGTGTGGTTCTGACTTCCAAGTGAGACCCAGGAAGTGAGGGATCAAGTCCAAGCGGTGGTGAGCTCTTTCTCCGTGGACAGGCAACCCACCTACTTTTGTGGTAAGTGTCTGCCTAGTGCTGCAGGCACACATGCCACTCTGTGTATCAGGTCTAGGAGATATAGGTGCAGTACATTGCAAAAACCATTCATGGGCATGGGCATGGGCAACCCATGAGCTGCCCCTTAGACCTCCTATAGGATTGTGGACGGGGTGTACCTGCCTGAGGGACTGCCACTTGGATGTGGTGCCTGTGCCAAGCAAGCATCCCCTTCCTCTGTGTTCTGTAATACACTCATTGTCATTTCTGTCCACCACATGTCCTGTCTTAAAAAAAACTCCACAGATCCTAGATGACGGAGATTCTATCTCCAAGGTGTTCCAGCTTTCTGCATGGCAACCACTGTGGTTTCAGTGACTATAATATCCTATTACCCAATTGAATGCCACTGTCAAGAGTATCAGCTTGTAGAAACACAAGGAATATTGAAAAGACATGTTTTCATAGTCAACTGTGCCTATTACTAGCAAAAAAATAGGAAACAATACACATTTTTATAATTTTGTGTCACAATGACTAGATGGAGTGCTTATGAGTGTAAACTGCTTTACTGTGAAGAAAATCCAATTCTTATGCTTTTTCCATGAAATTTTTTAAATAAATGCATATTTTTTATGCATGCTATTGTTCCTAATTGAAGTTACAAGTGAAGGATGTTTGACTCTTCGGGGCCAGCTGCCTAGACTGTGTATGCTATGGGAATCTATGGCATGCAGAACCAACCCATGACAATAAATAAAATGCTTCAAGTCTTATGTTTTCACCATTATTATACAGAGGTGCTGTGATGGTTTTGATAATAGTTCCTCATTTATAGCGTTCTAATTAAAAATAAATAAATTTGAAAAATGCTATGCCAAAGCTTAGTTAGGAAATTGAATAGGGAGCCAAAGAAAAAAGTAATTACATTATAGATAATTGCAATAACTTTTTCGACTTCCAAATTTCCAAAAATTTTGCCTCAATACTTTAGCAGAAACTAGAAAAAAAAAAGAAATGGAGAGCATGTCTCTTCAGGTTAGCAAAGCTGACATACTAATTCCATTTTTGGAACTGTGCTGATTTTGGAAGATGCTATTCTTTTCCTAAAAGAGTCACAGGTTAACCCTTTGGGGTCCATGGCTGAGTTACTCAAAATACTCAGATCCTAAAGGGTTAATTGATAGCATGCTCCATATACTCAACTCTGCTCTCATGGGCATACTTTGTATCAACTTCTGCTATGATACTCTCAGTCCTATCATTAGCTTTGTCCATTTTTACCAGCATCAGCAAGAAGGAAAAAAAGAAGCAATAGCTTTTTTGGAGTCCCCAAATAAGTATAAATTATAAGAATTGGAAAGTACATACCCATAATGAGTTCCAAATAGAGGAGAAATACTGCCTTGTTCTCCCAAGTATTCTCATTCTGCATGTCAGATGTATGGAGGATATACTTGAGGCTCGTACTGAGAGCGATTGTCAGGAGGATGGCATACTCAAACCCAAAGACCAGCTGCACTGAGGGGCCCTTTGTGATGGTGCTGTAGTAGGAATGGGTGATGAATGTCATGTCTGCAGCTATGAGCACCAGTAGCAGGGCTATAAAAAACAAAAGAGCGTAGCAGCATCATGATGGAATCTATTAGTAATCTATAGCTTACTATACTATACTATAGCTTACAGGTTATAACACATGTAACAATAAAACGAAGATAAGACTGGATATCTAACCAGCTCAAAGCAAGCAAACTGTTGAGTGATGATCTCATACTAATTTTATTCCATAACATTTCAATGTAAATTGAAGAAAAGTAAGTTTTTTCCATCAGAGCTAGGATAGAATGCAACCACCTGGTTAGCAACAACCATAATGAGGCTTTTATGATATAACTTACAGCATTTTGATAAGAGCCACAGCATTAGTTCCTCCAAGTGGCTACCAGTTCCTATCTTCAAATGAACAAAACACAAGGTATAGGTTTACTACTAAAAAGAAGAGCCTGACTTAAAAGGATGAAACTAGTTGAACCACTACAAATAATTTTCCTCTGTTAATTAAAAAGAGAAAATGACCAAGCTGCCTCAGTTGAAGGCTTACTGAGAATTTATAGAGAGATCATGATAGAGTTTTCTTCATTCTTCTTGGAAGGATCTTCATTAACACAGGTGACTTGGAAACAGAGAGTTCATTTACCCAGTAGAGTAAATGAATGATGCAATCAGTGACCAGGTAGAAACTGTCTCTTAATCAAAATTGCCTTATCTTACTGACACTGGTAGGCTACTCACGATTAAGGGCAAAAAAAGCAGCAATGCTTTATGAATAAATGTCATCACATGATAACATTCCTGAAAATATTTAAAGAAATGAAACTGCAAATTGTTTTAGCAAAGCTAAAACTTCTGCATGATGGACTTACCAACAACCCGAGCATGGAATAAGAAGGTGATCACTGGGCTCCTCTCCATCTGAATGCAGACAAGAGATAATATAGGCATGTAAAAAAAAGACCATTTAACTCAAATTTAACTCAGCATTTCAGGCTAAAAGCTTGTGGAATGTAAAGCCTCACGTAATCAACTCGGTCTTCTGCCAGCCAGTGAAATGACTTCAGAAAAAGGAGCAGTGTGAATAAGGCCACAAACTTGGGGCTGAAATCATCTCTAAATACAGTAAATGCCAGACAGGTTTCAGTGACTGCATACCACGACCTCTCCATCAAATGCTGCAAAAACAAGAAAGTTGGAAAATATGAGAACATGAGAAAGGGAAATAATGATAATACTGAAAATAACTTTTCAAGTCAAATCCAAATGATGCAACTTACTTCAAATTCTACTGCACGTAGTTGTCCAAAGAATAGTTTTCTCATCAATTTTCCAAGAAGAATGACAATGACAAATGCCTGGACATAGATGACCTGCAAATAAAATTTAAAACAATGGATTTCATTTATAAACAAATAATCACCATGATTTTTCCTTCATGCAGTAAAAGGAACTCACAGCCATGCTGGGGTTGGACTTGGTGATATATACAACAGAGGGATAAAACTGGCTCTTCTGATAATATGCATTTCCAATCACAATAGCTGTCAATCCCAGGCTAGCCAATGCAATGAAGGCAGCTCTCATCTTCATGGAGAACACACTTCTCCTTCCACTTCCAAGTGAAGTAGGTCTAGGAATAACTCTGTTGCTGATCTTAGGTCTAATGAATACAAGAACTCAATGTTTTTTTCAGTCCCATCTCACTGACACTTAACTTTGTGCCCACATTATTCCATGGCTCACTGAGCCAAATCATTAGTCTGAAAGCAAGAAGAAAATTACACAGGTATAATTTACAATTGATAGGAATAACTAAAAGGTAACACAGGCACTAGTCTTAGAAAGCTCAAGGCATGATCCATTGTTAGTTGCCTGATGCTAATGGGTAGGTTTAAAATTAGGCTCCTAGTTGGCAGCAGTGCAAGAGATGATTTTTTTGCTCAGGTAAATATTATGCAAAATATGTGCAGTAGCATAGGCCTCCTATTCATACAAAGAAGCATAGAGCAGTGGTTATGCTCATAGCCTACACTTACAGTTCCTAAAAGCCTACCATTACCCATAATTTTTAATTACCCCAGGGAGAAAGGAGAACTGTTATCCAAACAGAGCTATGATAGGACAATGTTAGGCTGACCATAGGGTTTAAGCCTAGGCCTTTACTGCTAGCTATCACAATGGCAGAACAACATATCCCAACAAGCACCACTACTGGAATTAAATCATATCCCCCTTATGAGCACTTCTGTTTATCACAGGCAATGATATCTTTATGATAGGTGGTCTTGTGAATAATCAGGTGAAGCAGATCTTCTAGATATGGTTTCCCTACTACCCAGGGGAATGTAAACTTAATCCGAAAACAGTGTACAATGAAGATGGTAATGCCCACATCCAGATCTGTCTTAGATCCAAGCATACCAAGAGTAGCAGAGACACTATTTTAATCATATTCATACTATAGGTCTCAGTTACCAGTGAAAGCATTAACAGATAATTGAAGTTAATCATCTGATTACTCAACTAGAGTTAGTGAAACCCCAAAAGAGATGGAAAATTTTCTCAGTCTTTGCTCAAAGAAGGGAGCAAAGACTTCCTGATATCTGTCATATTTTTCCCACAACAAATGAGAAAGTGAATGATGAGAAAGAGTTCCTGTTCCAGATGAGTCCTTGAGCCCAGGTGAGACAAGAAGTAGCAAGACATAGCATGGAGTAGCATGGAAAGAGATATTGCATGAGTATGGAGGGAAAAAAGGAAATGAAGCATAATTGAGAATTCCATACCTAATCTAATCCTTCCTGATGTAAAGGATGAAACAGGAGGGAAACCTTTCAGGTATTGGGATTAAAACTCATAAAATGCATGCTACTATTTTGACCAAGAGAGCATATGCAAACAAATAGGAAGCAAAACAAGGATTAACAATAAAATGAAAATAAAGAGTAGAAGTTATCATTTTCATTTTCCCTCTCTATATAGATAATTAAAAATAAAAAATAAATCAAAATGAATCTATAATGAAGGGGATAGAGTGAGACAAAAAGGGGTCAAATGCAACTCTCCTTTTTATTTCTACCTCTTCTAGAGTATGTAAAATACATTCTCTATCCCATGCCTGGACAGGATTCAGCTGCATTTCATGTTTTGTTGGAGACTGAGGAAGGGGCGATATTAAGAAACTTAATTGAAATAAACTTTTAGCAAACAGACGAAAAAAGTTATCGAACTGGCCAGTAACACAGTTAGCTACTGGAACCCCTAATCACTGCTCCTTTGAAAGCAAGAATTTGGCACCCCAAAGGCTCACAACTCAGGCATCAATATTAAACAATGCAGGTTTGATCCCTGCCCCCTATCCTCCCTTTCTTTCATTCCCTTCCACAGAGTCCCAAGCAGTAAGAAAGCACAACTATTGAGTGTAATAATAAAAAGAGTCCAATCAGAGTGGAGTTCTGAAGAAGCTTGGTTTGTGGAAAGCGGAGGTGGGTTGACCTGAATATATCAGCATCAAACACTGACCTAGATATAACCAATATTAATAAATATGCATAAATCTACCGTTAGTTATTCATATATTGTAACCATGATACAGAACACTGACTTGATTTTCACATCGCACTGTCTGCAGCATCGTCTATACAAATTGTGGCCAATCTGAAGGTACAACCTATTGACCCATGCTGCAGGTAGCACGAATTGAGCGTGAAATTACTGTAAGGTTAGGCCGATATCTACTCATATGCGAAGTGGAAGCTATTGCCAGAAAGACATTCCCATGTTTAGGCCTAAATCCGAAAAAAATACCGTGTTTATCCTGGACCTCGGAATACTTTTTTCTCTCCAATCCGGTAGGAAACACTTGCCTGCGTCTCAGAAGCATAAGATTGGCTTGCAGAGATCACCGCAAGCTCTGACGGAAAACAATGACTGGAGGACGCCATATTGCTTTGACACGTCATCACACTCCAACCAATGAGATCATAGATCGTGTTCTGTCTCGCGATCGAGGCCAGTGGACCAGGGCTCGTCAGAAGGGCAATTATCAAGTCGAACTTCCTGTCTGACCAGCCAGCATTTTTTAAAAGGAACATTGAAACCGGGGAAATGTGGGACACAAGTGAACAAAATTGAAGAAAATCTGTAAATCCATACCTGCAGCAATTTTCACAAATCGAAATAATAATAGAATAAGTTTCTATCATTTCGCGACCATGACCAACTTGTATTTGGATTTCAGATGCGTGGGTGTTGTCACCAATTTTCTTCTTTAAGTACGTTTTTCCGACGGTTCGGAGAAATCAATAACTCTATATCAGATGTAGGTTGGAAGAGTTGGACTCTCAATAAGGATAAAAGCAGAAAGTAGTTTCATCAAATTCAAATCCAAGTGCTTCCTTTGCAGGCTCGCTTTTTTGTACTCGATTGTTTACCGGGCGTCGACCCCTCGATCTGCCTAAGATGATAACGACGCATTCAAGACGAAAAAGGTTTGCATGGGAAAAGGGGGTCAGGTTGATAGTTCCTCCCCCCCCCCCCCCCCCCCCCCCCCCCCCCCCCCNATACTTTCATTGCGGTGAGTGATATCCCCCCCCCCCCCCCCCCCCTTCAAATTCCATACCGATAACAGTTCAAATGGGTTGCGCGCTATATTGATTAAATTCGGTGCAGAAACTCGTAGTAGTACGCAATCAAATTACTTTAAAATTTCAAAATCATAGGATGATAAGGGAAATTGAAAACAGGAATTCCAAAGCCTCCCCCATGCCAGTCGACCATTTGCCTCCGAGCACCAACAGATTTATATCTCCGGCTCAGCCGTGGTCGAGCCGGAGGACCGCTTCGCCCACTCGTTCGAGCGATGGGCGAGAGACGTGCGTCCCTGCATGGAGTAGGCGGAGGCGCTATCGAGTCTCCGTTCGTGAGGGTCAGGGTCAGTCCGACGAGGCCGATCTATTTCGTTTCGCGTATGCAAGACGGAAAAACACGTTTTCTCACGATGAACGCTGAAGGATAGATAATTGAAAGAAAAATGGTTCACAAATGAGCAAGCGGGGTATATTGCCGTGAACCCGAATTAGGTCGGGAGGGGACAGGACTGGCGAACATCTCGGCAGAAGCTCGAGTCTCACTGAAACGGGAGGGAGGTGCAGTTTCGAGTACGCGTGATGTCATCACGAAGCCCCGCCCACTCGATCGCATCATTCGTGCTCGCTCGGTTCAAGGGCATTCGGAGTGCGGAAGGACGCGGCGATGGGAATCCCCGAGGAGAGCACAATCGCATCCGTCTCACTCGAAATGCGCATGACGGCCTGTCACAGTGCGAAAAGGGGAAGCCGTGAACATGAAGCTCCTCGTCCTCGTTCTCCTCTCGTTCCTCTCCCTGCAAAAGTTAGTCCGATTCCGGCACTTCCACATGCGAAATTCCTCGGTCACGCGAAAGGTACGATGAAGGGCGTTAAAAGTATTCCACGGAAATTTGGGGCGATGCCACCTTCGAGTTGTCGACCTCGACGCTTCCCTAAAATCTAGAACCGCTGATTGATGACAAGGCCGTATTTAGGGGAAGGGGGGGGGGGGGGGCAGTTCATGGGGTTCAACCCCCCCCCGCCTCCGAAATATATTTATCTATACCTCAGGTAACAAAAAGACAGACGCAACGGGATAATGTTCCGGTAGAGAAGACACCTGAATAATTTTACAGGGGAGCACTATATCTGGCATTCTTTGATCATGTTAGGACGCAGCTGAGGGAGAGGTTCTCCAGACATAAACATCTCATCAGCTCTCTGCAAAATTGGCGAGGGATGCTTCAAAGCTATGGAGCAGGTACTGCACACATGAAAAAATAAGAATT